GTAGCTTCTATCTAGCATTTTATAACTAGTCATACACATATGCCTCCCAACCGAGGTGCTTGCTATGTTCTAATAGTACTATATTTGGTTTGTGTTCGTGTATGTATGCGCACGCGTGTTTTGAATGGACACAAACATAATTATGATAATTATGCAGCATTAAAAAAGAGTTCTTTTTTAATATATTTTATTAATTCTACTGTCTAGTTGAGTACTGCATGTTAAGAGATAGAGTAGTGTACTTGAACTGAGAATAGATAAGTTAAGGGAGAATTTAAACCGGAGTTGAAGTAAAAATCGCAGATTGTGAAAAATCTGATATAGCATCCCATAGATGTCTTCCACATCATTCGCATCTACATAAATTGGATTTTGCCGCGTACTTGTTGACCTGCAAAAGGAAGTATTGTGAAGTTTACAGCAGAGAAATCATGATTTGAGAATGGAGAGAAAGAGCGAAAAGTAGTTGAACTCAGCTGAATTTCATTGAAAAAGAATTGAAGCTACAAATATCTATTATATACACAAAACTAGATATGGTAAAAGACATAAATAACCCTATACAATCTAACAAATCTCAATACTCCCCCTCAAGTTGGAGAGTATATATCCAGGATTCCCATCTTGCCAAGTAAGGATTTGAACTTGATTCCAACTAACAGCTTAGTTAGCAAATCAGCCAATTGATTCTGTGATGTGTTATGCAACATTTTCACCTCTTCAACTTGCACTTTGTCTCTAACAAGGTGACAATCAATTTCTATGTGCTTGGTCCTCTCATGGAATATCGGATTGTTAGCTATATGAATAGCTGATTGGTTATCACAGAAAAATAAAGTAGCCTTAGTGTGTTGAACTCCTAAATCTTTAACAATATTTTTCAGCCAACTGATTTCACAAACTGCAGCCGCCATTGATCTATATTCCGCCTCAGCAGCCATATCTCAGTTGTCTCTTTTACATAAATCAATTCCTACTATTACCTTTAATGAACATTTGCATTGGTTAGTTTTTCCCATGGCTAAGCAACATAGGTTACCATTTCAAAATAGTAAAACAAAATCTTCCAAGCCATTTGAGCTCATTCATTGTAACATATGGGGTCCCTACTCTGTCCTTGCCATTGATGGATCAAAATATTTTTTAACCTTCGTTGATGACTATAGCCGTATGACTTGGACCTATCTTATGAAAGATAAATCTCAAACTAGGCATATCATTCATTCATTCTTTCACCTAATCCAAACATACTTCAGCTGCAAAATTAAGATCCTCAGGTCAAATAATGGCTCTGAGTTCCTTATGAATGATTTTTATCAAAACAATGGCATCATTCATCAAATGGGTTGTGTTGAGACTCCACAGCAGAATGGGGTGGTAGAAAAGAAACACCAACATATTCTTAACATTGTTAGGGCCATCAAATTTCAGGCTAAATTACCTCACAAGTTCTGGGGAGATTTTATCTTTGACTGCCACACATATCATTAACAGAACTCCAACAAAAATCCTCAATGACAGATCATCGTTTGAAATTTTATACCAGACAAAAGCATCTTATACTCACCTTAGAGTGTTTGGGCGCCTATGCTATGCTTCAACACTCAAAAGAAACCGTACCAAATTCGATCCCAGAGCCATACCTTGTGTCTTCCTTGGTTAACCCTATGGTATGAAGGCCTATAAATTGTACAATCTTCAGACCAATTCCAGTTTTCAGGAAACCATTTTGCCATTTCATTATCCTGCCTTCTTGAATCAATATTTTCTTGTAGTGATTCTCCACTTCAGAATTCTTCTCTTTTTCCTAATTATTCTCATCAATTCACTGATATACCTACATATACTCCAACTTTTTCAGATTCTAATCCTTCAATGTCACGTGATCTTCATTCTTCAGATCCTCTTAACCCTTCATTTCCTCAGAATGAGCAATCACCTTCATCTGAGCTTATATCAACAAATTTGCCTGTAGCCACCACATCTGACATTTTACCGTTGATCCTATACTTCAACCATTTGTCATTCCAACTAGAAAATATGACAGACCAAAAAGAACCCTTTCTTATCTCCATGATTACCATTGCAACTTGGTGACTCAGGTACCTACTTTCCAGTCAGATTCCATGACCAAAGGTATTGAATCTGGAGCACAATACCCTATGGCAGATTGGCTGAACTATAGTCAGTTATCTCCTGCATAGAGAACTTATGCTTTGGCTCTGTCTACTGTTTCTGAGCCTAAATTTTTGATGAGGCTTCTAACTCTCCAGAATGGTGCAAAGACATGGATGCAGAGTTTCAAGCTTTAGTTTCCAATAATACATGGTCTGTTACTGAGCTTCCCATTCACAAGAAACCTGTTTACTGTAAGTGGGTTTTCAAAGTGAAGTTGAAGTATGAAAGCACAGAGGACAGAAAGAAAGCGAGGCTGGTAGCTAAAGGTTTCACTTAGCAGGCTGGTTTGGATTATGAGGAAATCTTCTCCCCTGTTGCAAAGTTAGCCACTATGAAGACCCTCCTTGCTGTTGCTACTCATCATCGATGGCATCTCGATCAATTAGACATCAACAATACATTTCTTCATGGAGATTTGGAAGAAGAGATGTATATGAATATGCCCCTAGGTTTTGAGCAGCAAGGGGGAATGGGAAAAGGCTTGTTTGCAGGTTGAATAAGTCATTTACGGGCTTAAACAAGTATCAAGGCAATTGAATACTAAACTAACTACCTACATTGTTTTACAGGGATTTCAACAATCAAAATCTGACTATTCTCTATTTAGCAAACAAAGTGGCTGCTCATTTACCATCTTACTCATTTATGTGGATGATATTGTTATAGGAGAGCTTGAATAATCAATTTAAACTTAAAGATTTAGGTGTCTTGAAATATTTTTTGGGACTTGAAGTAGCAAGAACCTCACTGGGGATATCGGTCTGTCAACGAAAATATGCATTACAAGTTCTTATGGATGCTGGTTATCTTGGAGCAAAACCAGCTAAAAGCCCTCTATCACATAATATTAAACTGAGCAAGAACACAGGTAAAGATATCAGTGATCCAAGTATGTGCAGAAGTTAGTGGCAGGTTGTTATATTTGACAATTACGAGGCCTGATCTATCTTAACCAGTGCAAGTTCTCAGCCAGTATCTTGAGTCACCAAAACAACCTCATTTAGAGGTTGTTCACCACGTACTGAGATATTTGAAAGGAACAACTGGGCAAGGTTTGTTCTTTGATGCAAAATCTGATCTGCAACTTAAGGGATTTTGTGATGCAGATTGGGCAACCTGCTTAGATACAAGTAGCGGTGG